TACCTTATTCCCCACATCTACAGAGAACTCTTTAACAAGACATTTATGTGGCATCTTGTCAAATGATTTCAGAAAACCCAAATATATTACATCCACATCTGTACCCTTATCTAAATTAGCAGTAACCTCTTCCTACCCCACTCTTCCTTATCTCCACACGCAGCAAAACATAAATGTAATTAAGCAATGATCACTTGCACCCAGATGTTCTCAAACCTCTACCCTATCAAGCATTTCATTTTGAGAAGTTAATAAATACAAGTAGTCCATTGACAACATTGTTAAGACTAATGTTAAGGTATATTATATTCTCACTACTAGCACCCTTTACTATATCACTTGCTCTGTCAGTTATATCATCCACCCCTGCCCTTGAATAGCATAATCTATTTTCTCACTATTTACCCCCACAGACCATCTTATCCACATGCCTATTTATCTACACATATAAATGTCAACCCTATAGATGAAGATCCAACCACTTTGAAATGAAATCTTAACATGTGCATTTCTATTATTACAGGTCAGGTGACTGCAATCATTCTATAATTTATAATTCACGAATGAATTCAGTAATGTCTACATGAATGAAACTTTTACCATACAAATAGTGGCAGTAATGTTTGATAAATTACAACTGTAAGCAGTTCTTTTTTCATCATGTAGCACTTGCATCCAGAAACATTCAATGTACAACTTGCATTTGCTATTAGACTATCCACTCCATTCTGCAACTTTAACAATTACAATGTTATTTAATTCAACTATTACTGGTGTCAGTATCCAGCAGGAATTGTCAATTTTATCATTGGTTTGCAACACCAAAACTAAAATATATTTGCAACCAAAATGCTTGGTCTCAAGTCTACAGTCCATCTAAAATGTGAATCAACTATGATGAAAGCAGATAATTATTACCAAATTAAAAATATGGCAATATAACAAATAATATTAAGCAAAACCAAGGAAACTGCAGATCTCTGTTGGTCAGAGGTTGAGGAGAGTCTTGCACCACTAATCTTTGCAGGGTCTGCAGAAATGCCATCACAGTATGACCAAAGAACTTTACCTGTGTCCATAAGTGCACACTCCCTTGGCTTCTACTTGAAACCTGCTTTTTTTTTATCCATTGAAGCATCATGCTCAGGTTCCTGGCAGCACTCAAATACGAGGCTAAACACCAAGATGTAATTGGCAAAAATCAGGCACCTTCCCATTGCAACTCTCTCAGAATGTAGTTCATTTACCTTTCTAAAGTAGTGGATACATTAGAAAGGTCACATGGCATGATGTGCAACTCAAATACATGGCTTTCACACATGTATAGTGCATTGTTCTTGAGCCCAATCTAGTCAGCATTGGATAGCTTTCCTGCAGAAACATAACTTGCCTGATACACAGACAAAACTGATTTCTGCAGTACGTCCACCCTTAAGATCCCAGTATTAGAAACAGACTGAATAAAACCACCTTCACTCTTCCCTAGAATGAAGTCAGTATTGACTGACTAGTGATGGCTTCAATTGTAATGCCATTCGTGGTAAAGTCAACCAGTAACTCCTGTACCAACAACGCACTCCATCTTCATTATTATCAAACACATAAAAAGCATTACCAAGCCTTAAAAGAACTGAGATGGCTAAACAATTTTGATGTCTGCCACATGAATAATCATCTTTGCCAATTGGTGTCCAATGTCTCACCTGATAATGAAACAGAGTTGATATTCTATCAGCAGTATCTTCAATATATTAAGATGATTTAGGGTAGCATCAACCATAGGTGGGCTACCTGGTTTGCAAATAATGGGATTTCTATAGTGTGTTCCATTCAGTTACAGATTCACCAGATGATAAGTCACTGCAACTACTCAAAGTTAGCTGTGACTCATGTGTACATAAACCAACCGTCAGGAAAAGAATTATCTGGAATTCTAGAGGCTGTAGCAGTTTGTCTTGAATTTGTTACTAAAGAAAGATTAAAATCTTGGATCTATGCACTATTAATAAGTATCAGAAACAAACTATCTTGTTCATAAAGTCCTACTTGTGGACAATGTCATTTTCTAGTTTAAAAGATAAAGCATAGTTAAGAAGAGCACAGTAAAACAGCCATCAAAAAAATATAAAACTCTACTAATATTTCTCCTTATTACCTCTCTCAGTGGTATTTGTAGGTGCACTGATAAGCCTAAAAATTATAAACAGCAATACAATAGTTTGAGAAACAAGAGAAAATGTATCATGGAGTTAAATCTGAATTCTCAGACTGACTTTTGAAAGAAGAGGCCAAACACAAATGTAAAAGCAAAGTTTACCTTAAAGAAAACCAAAAGATTTGTTGTTCAAGTAGTAAATAACTTTTTGTTGTACAAATAAAAAAATGAAATAGTCTAGGTAACTGAAAAACTTAAGTTCTTTGTATACTTAGTATAAAATCTAAGTGATAATGTTTGATATAAATATATAGTCATATTTGTTCAAGAAATTTTATATTTTGAAAAGCTTAATAGTGATTATAAATTCAAGAAAACTTCCATTAAACACCATTTACATACTATCAGAAATTACACTTTACACGAGTTCAAGGCATATACACATGTCAAACAGTCATTTTCATTGATAGATTATGTCATTCCACTTTTAG